TGATATTTAAATTTAGTGAATTAATTAATTAATGATGTTAACATAAATATAAAGTATTGTAATTTCTTGCAGACAACCTGCAACAAAAATTATATGCTTTTGCAAGGTCTATGTTACTGATACATATATATATATATATCAGTAACATAGACCTTGCAAAAGCATATATATATTTGTGGGATATATATATATATATATATCCCACAAATATATATATGCTTTTGCAATATATATATATCCCACAAAAATTTCTAGAATGGAAACAAAACCTTTGCATAACCCAAACTGCTATATCCATAAATCCACACCTCCAAAACAGACTTTGAAAATGTGTCATTAATATGCAGTATAAAAGATATTGTCTCAAATATTCTGTTTTTCTATGCTTCTTTTTACAGTTAACTGCAGATGTATATAAAAAATAAATTAAGTAAAATGGGACAAAAGAAAAGAGATAGAATATCTGAGTCATAATCTCCTAAACTGCACTGTGATTTAAAAATAAAAATGGCTGCTGAATTGCTCAAAGTTTTTTTTTATTATTTCACTTCATTTTTATTTTATTTATCAAATGACTTTGAAAAAAAATTAAAGCAGAAAAATTTTCATATTGATACTATCCAATGACCTGGATTCAAGAACCAATCATTCATCCTCTATTGTTAATTTTGTCCTATTTTAGTTCTTTATAACAGTCAACTTTTAAGCAAACTTTCTCTGAGAATCATATAGAAAAAAACAAATTACTGAAATCTTATTAGATTTGAAGAAACAAATTTAATTAGAATCTAATATCATCAATTCAAGCATGAATATAGAGAAAAAGAACAGAAAAAGAATTAAAGGTAGGCAGACTTTAATGCCTTTTGTAGTTTTGGGATAAATTGTGAAGGCAGATGATTATGTCTGTGGTATGCAAAGAATTTTTCACATTTTTTTAAAGATGCTATTAGTACATTTAGACAACAATAAAAACTGCTTAATGAGTTCATAGTTGAAAGTTAAAATCAACAGATAAACCACATTATTGCATAACCTACACTTGCTTTCAAATACAAATTCACACAAGATTATAATAATTTATCATCTTATTTCTCATTACTTTTACTTAAAATAAGTTTATTATTATATTAAAAAAATTAACAATTTTATACATATATATACAAAAATCACCTTAAAGATTCACTTCACAAATACACAAAGAGAGATTTACTTTTACCAGTTGATGTATCCAGAGACGTCACAGCTGCAGGAGCAGTTTTTACAGTACGCGGACCTGAAGCTAATGTTGGTGAAGCAGAGCTAGTAACTACATCTTTACTAGAAGGTGTATCGACTGTATTCTGTCTTTTATATGAAGTAGGAGCAGCAGAGTTGGTAGTAACTTGATTACCTACAAAATTAATTTAGTGTAGAAAAAAATATTGAAAGTAAGATTTACTCGTTTAAAAATTTATTGTAAGTAATTATTTTCCAAAACCAAAACTTCAAATAATTTCTTGTTGTACAATTTTATTGCAAACACAAATATGCTATTGATTTTTCAAAGTCAAAATTCATTGAGATTTATTTTAAAAATTAAAAAATTAGATGTCACTATACAAGGAAAAGTAATTTTGATCATATTACAGGATGTCTACTGATTGCAAGAAACAAAATTTGTTACTTGACATTAATTTTCATGATCTTAAGTAACATTTGCAAAAAACAGGAAAAGAAAAATTCCCGCTCTTACTGTATAATAAAATCTCCTTCCTTCTTTTTCCACACAAGGTCTTTTAGTTAACAATTTAAAAAGTATAATCTATAAAATACATTACCTATAAAGATATTGTTAAACAATAATCAAAGAAACAGAATGAAAACAAAGTAAAAATGCTATTAATAAGAAAACTCTGTAACAGGAAATCTGAATAATACCAATAAAAGAAATTGAAGCTTTTAATCTAATTAGTTTCTCCTAATAGCATCAATCAATCAAAAGTGATGAACAATTTTGACACTGAATTATTAGAGAGGTTGTGACTGAAGTTTTCATCTATAAAATATGAACATTGAATGTTGAGTGCTGCCAACTTGTAAAACTCCTAGAAGTTTGACAATGGTGTTTGGAACATCATTGGAATCATGCTTGACGTTCCAAACGCCATTGTCAAACTTCTAGGCTTACAAGACGATGGCACTCAACATTTGACATTCACATTTTAGATATGAAAACTTCAGCTGCAACCTCTCTATTAGTACAACATAGAGTGAACTGTTAATAAAGATTTATATTCAAATAACCAATGTTTCATTACAATAGGTACTTCAGTTAACTCTGATAAGAGTATCTAAAATAATCATCATTATGCAATTTTAAACTGAATTTTCAAAAATTGATATTTGTCATATTTGAATTTTACACTTATTTATCAGGATTAATACTAATTTTTCAATCAGAAAATTAAGAACTCTTCAAGAAATAAATTAAATAAATAGAAGCCATCTATTTAATGTCTGTTTTCTTTTTCCCTTGCAAAAATCTGTTAAAATGAATTGTTTTTTAGATAATTTACCATAGGAACTTCATTTATTTCAATTTGTTAAAGCATATAAGTTTAAATTTCTAACTTTAATAAGAATATATTTTTCTGGTAATTATGAATAAAACAATTCGTGACAAGTTAACAAAATTAATGACTATAGTCAACCCCCCTATAACGTGGGTTCATATAATGCAGATTCGTATATCGCGGCAAAAAAATTGCGACCATATTTGTATAAAGACACTAAAAGCAACTCGTAAAATGCGGTAAAACATCATCGCTGACTCGTGTCGCAACAGGATTGGTCGAATCTGGACCAATAGTGGACGAGCAGCCGAACTACTTATACACTATGGAGAGTTTAGGCAGGTAAGTTGAGTTTACTATCGTCTGTACAGTATATAAATTAGGTACTGTAATTCTAATACAGTACTGTAATTTTATACATTTCTTGTAAAAAAAACATTTCTTATTCAATGGTCATAAAAATTATTTCTATTAATGATGTCTCCAAAGTTCAACGAATTTTTCGCAGAAAAATAACTTATCAGAAAACACGGCCATCGTTTGGTGCACTGCTCCATGACAAAAACAAGCTTAAGTAATGGTGTCGTCGAACAGTGCACACTCGGTAAGTAATCCTACAATTTTTTGTTTATAGCATAGTTTATATGGATTATTCCCAAAAATTTATACGTGTTTTGGAAATGTTGAGTCATATTAGTCTAGAATCAATTAATTTTATGGAGGAAAACTTTTCAAACAGCCATAGTCCATAAACTGCACACATGCGAGGCTGTGATTGGCTCATGTATTTAAGGATTCCTACAACGTGAAATTGAAAAACACGGTAGATACATTCCACTTTATAAGAAATAAAGTGGAACATATCTACTGCATTATGGGGTCAACTGTAACTTGATTTTCATGATCAATAGACATCTTGTATTATTATGATTAATTATTAAAATAATTTAAACAGATTTTAAATTAAAAGGATCAAATATATGGAGCTTTTAACTGCTACTTTTTTAAAGTGAAATAACAACAAAATAATGAGCATTGACTTAGAAAATATAATAAAAACCTATTAAAAATAAATTTTATAATAAAAACTCTTCAATTTTAAATAAATACTTCTTTAATGTTCTATTTTTATAGTTATAATTATTAAACTTTTTCTTCAATAATATCTTCAAAATAATAAATTATTTTTTTACAATCTTAACTGTGAATTTATAGTTTTAAAACTGTAGGCACTGTATTTTGTAATAATAATTTTTCATTATATAACCATTTACTTCAAACATGATCACAATCAATATAAGCAGAGGAAATAAAATAGGATGCTTTTGTATTCTGTGTAGTATTTATATAAATTATAAGTTTAAATTTAGTTGTCTTATATTCATTAAAGATTAAGAGATGAATTTTGGGAATTTTTTCTATAATTGTCATAATAAAATACATACCGCCATGACTAAATCGTCGAGGTTTAGTTGTGGCAGAAACACTACGTTGTACCTTAACATGAGAAGGTGATTGATTACTACTTGGTCCTTCAACAGCAGCTGGTCTCAGTGTACGAAGTGAAAGACTGGAACTAGACCTTGAATCACAACTTTCATTCTATTAAATTTAAAATGACAATTTTAATAAAATTATAGCACATCATAAAAATTTATAATTATGTAAAAATGCACAATCAGTGTTTCTTATACTGATTCACTAGATGTTTATTCTATTCACTTTTGAGAAATAGAACAAAATACATATACTAAATATGCACTTGTTGTAACAACAGTACCCTTACAAGATAACTTTTGTTTTATAATTAATAAATTATAATGAACTATCTCACACTATTACACATTTAATTAAAACACTCATTTTCTAGGAAAACTCCTTAATTATTAATCCACAATGAAAAATCTATCTATAGTGAAATAATTAACTGTAAGTAATAATATAAACTCATTATAACAGCAAAAATTTCAGCATTATTTCTCTACATCAGACAACATATCTATTTTTGTTTTATCTTTATATATCTATGATAATATTTATAAGTTGTATCATTAATTAAAATAATAACAACAATAATAAATTTTTAAATTTAGAGCTTAAACTTCTTTTTGACAGATGCCCATCATAAAATCTCAAACTAAATATAAAATGATTATTTCTTAGACTTTTAAATATTCTTTAAATGGTTAATTTCATTAATAAAAAGCTATAATTTCAGATAGTAATAACAAAATAAACTGTTAAAGTTCCAGATACCAAAAATATTTATGACCTTCATTTAGGTTGCCTGAATTTGTAATTTTCAAATTTAAATTCTATTTTGTTCATTTTGTCAGCTGAGGACAACTTAGTGAAGGTCAAAAACATTTGATTACATATTTTTTAGTAACCAAAATTGCAGAAATTTGTTTTATCATCATAAAGATGACAATTTTTGTAGATTTTCACTATAATTTGGGATATTCTTGCAGCCAAAAATAAATATTTCATTTTTTCACCGTAATAGCATAAATAATTTTAAACTTGCGTGAAATTTTTAAAATAATCTATTATTGTCATTTTAATGAAGATTTTATTATATCTTCAAGCCGATCGATTGTTACTTCTGTGTGGTATTGTGAAAAGGATAAAAAGAATAGACTCGAAAAAGTTATAATTTTTGTAAGTCGTCTTGAACTTCAAATGAAGATAATCCTGGGTGATGTCATCATTATGCAAATGTATGAATTCATATACATAAATGAGTTCATAACTCAACAAATAAATTGACTACAATGCTAAAAATATATGTAAGCAAGCATTTTAGCAGAAACACTTCTAATGTACCTTATTTTAGCAACAGAAAATATTCAGTAGTTCTTGCTTTCATCAATTGTGAAATTTGTTTTATTGCATGTTTTAGTCTAACAGATATAATTTATGTAAAACCAAACAGAAAATATAACTAATTAATGAACAAAGTTGATGCAATTTTCTTATAATAATACTTCACTATTATACTACTGATGCAAGCACAGTAAGACCCCACTTAACACTGCCTCAAATAATGCTGATTTGATAAACGCGGTCTGCTCGAAGCCTAAGAAAAGCTCAAAATTTACGCTGATTCAAATTATCGCAGCATTTCATTCATTCGTATATAATATGATTATTCCCAAACACAAACCAATCAACAAAAGGTGACAATTCATTGTTGTGCTGTACTTTCCTTAAATCTATGTTTGTTTTGTGTAATTTTCGAAAAAATATAACATCATGGATGCCATAGGAAATATTGACTTTGCTTGGCAACAATTAACTGATAAATGCATGAACGAAGTGTGGAAGAAGATATGGCTGGAGGTATCAAAGAATTCTCAACGAGAAGAGCCTGTCACTGGGTTGACCAAACTCAACCTAATCGATACAGCAGGACTAGGAAAGGTAGACGAGCAGGATATTGAGGAGTTACTGCAGGTTTCTGATGAGAGCCTTACCAACAATGACCTTCAGGAACTGGCAGAACAAGGAATTCATGTAAAACTGGAAAATAGTGATTCTGAAAACGAAGAACCCAAAGAAATTGTTACAGATTTCCTTAGTAAAAATTTGGTAACAATAACCAAAATCATTCATCAAATTGTAGCAAATGATCCAAGTTTTGAAAAGAATGAAAAAGCAAGACAAGGTGTTTTGGATGCGATCTCTTGCTACCAACATTTGCTTAAGAAAACAAAAAGAAAGCGGCAAATGAAACTACACGACTTTATCGCAAAAAACAAGAATTTCAGAAGAGCCAGGCCTTCTTCACAAAAAATGAACTTTACATTTGTGTGTGCTTATGTTTGTGTGTTATTTAATCTATATTATTATGTAAATTAATATAAAAATAACTTAAAGTAAAATCTGTTTATTTTTGGTTGTGTGTTCCTCTTTCCCTATTCACTCTGTGTTAAAATGACCTCATTTAATGCTATTTTGTTCAGCGCTTTATTGTCTAGGAATGTATCGTATCCCCCGCATTAAGCAGGGTCTTACTGTACTAAATAATGTTTGAATCTATGAAGTTGCTGAATTGCATAAATTTAACATTGCACACAATAAAAACTTAATTAAATGTTATTTTAAATTCTTTGCAAGATTATCATAACAACTCTCCAAGTTTTTATATTATAAATTAATAATATACTATACAGAAATAAGCAATTCTGAGATTATATTTATCTCTGGTAAGCTACCTGTAAAATTTTTCTTTGTTTTCATATTTTTGACTCATTTAATTAGGAAATTATAACAATTACTAAAATAAATTTTAAATATAAAATTAAATGTGGTAAAGCCTCAATTTAATAGATTTTGGATTTAACAGACAATTTCCAGTCTGTACATCATATGTAAAAATTACATTAATTTAATTTTTATATGTAATTAAATCAACAGGTTATTCATTTATTTCTTTTCAAATCCAAAAGTCATCTTTCATAAAGTGTATTTTCCAAAGCATGTTCGTTTGTTTCAAATTAGATAGTATACTTGTTTATTACAGTCTCAGAACAACAGTGAGTATATAAGCAATAAAACATATATAAGTATGTATGAGAAATTAAACTTCTCATAAATAGTTAATTTTTAATTACACAAATGTATCTAAACAAGTAAAAACAGATTAACTAACTAATTTGTAAATTTTTTAATATGCCTATCTGGGAAACCTACTTTATTGTATAATGGACATCCCTCACTCGAATTAGTCTGTTAAATCGAGGTTTTACCATAATAATTCACTTAAATAGTTATTATATATATGTAAAACAACATTTTTAAAACATACCTCAGTAGGTCTTTTTCCAAGTAACAAATAATTAGCCATAATATCATCATATTTTTTATTTCTAAGAGAATCTTCTATTTCATCTCTAGTGTAGCCCATAGACATTAAAATTTCTACAATATGATAATGTTGTAATTAAAAATAAATACATTACGAATAACGTGTATTATTAATAAAACAATTCAAAATAAATAAAATATTTATAAAAATTTATACATTTTTCTGTACAACAAAATAAAATAAAATAAATTTGAAAAAAGGTCAAATCAATCTGCATCAAATACGTTCACAGATTTGTTGACAATACTACTTATAGTACTTAAACAAACAAAAAAGAAAATAAAATAAATACTTTTGCTATTATTTAAAACATCTGACTTTTCAACAAATCAGGAAACATTTAAGGCTAAATTTTTCAGAAATGAAGAATGTCTGTTTGTTTACATTTATCAAATTTATTAACACTAATGGCATCATCAGTTATTTAAAAGCTCCACACAAAACCAATTTAAGTAATTTATTTTAAAACCATATTCACTGTATAAAAATATTTTCAACATAATCATTTGACTTTCAACTTTTATACATATATATTTGAATCTATCTTGCTATATTATAGATAGATAAATACAACAAAATAAATTGTTGGATTATTTGCAGATATTTTTTAAGGCTGTAATTTTAAACTATTATATAACTTTTCACTAAAGAGAGATGATGATGTCTCCCTTTAGTAAAAACTTATATAATTAATAAAACTATAACTCCACAATTGAACTAAAACTACAAGATAAGTTTTAACAAAGTATGTAAACAACCAAGTCATAGCTTTCAAGTACTTTCAAGTTCTCATTCATCTTCTGGTAAAACTAAGAAGAATGTTTTTCCTAAAGATTTTTGAAATTTTATTTTGTATTAAAAAAAAATGTCTAAACATTCTATTTGGGTTTCATTTCTCATGAAGATTGGTGAGATGATGCAGAACTACTCCAAAGTTATGTAACAGTTGTTCATATATTGCATTAAAGTATATCTCATAGTTTTAATTAATTAAAATTAAAACTTTAAAAAGCCTGTGAATAATCCAGAAACTGTATTAATAATAAAACATTAAATATTAAATCAAATTTTTGTAGAGTGATGCAGTAAGAAGTATTTAGGTTCATTTTAGATTCATTAAAATCATATGTATATTAGGGGTTGGGCACAAATATTTTGACAAAAAAAAATTTTCATCAAAATAAGGGACACCATAATTACACCATTTGTCAGAAAAGTTCCAGGACAAAGCTTGTAAAAAATAGAAAATTGCAATTACCAAGTAATGATGTCTGCGATATCTTGACAAAATGTCCCTTTTAGTTGCAACCCTTTGTCAGAAAAATGTGATTTTTTTCTTGTTTCCAAAAGTGAAAAAGCAACTGAAAAGGACATTTTGTCAAGATATTGCAGACATCTAATGGGCTGTAGCAAATGAACTAATAGGCATCACACTTGAAGCTTTCTCTACTTGTTTCCAAGACCTCCAGAAACATTGGCAATTGTGTACAGATAGCTGAGGGGACTACTTTGACAAGAGCTAGAATCATTACTTGGTAATTGCAATTTTCTATTTTTTATGGGCTTTGTCCTGGAACTTTTCTGACAAAGGGTGTACATATATATATATGTACATTCTTGTAAAAATTTATATATGTCAGAGCTTTTGTACACTTGCATTTTTATGCATAAAATTTAATATTTCCACAACTTTGACTTGCAACATTTTCATTGGTGAGTCAGTTTACAACTC